CTTTCAAGGCCTAAGGAGATAAACATTGTGTACATCTCATACATTCGGTAACATCTATGATAAACAATGCTTTTAAAGATTTAGATCCTGAATACATATTTGTTACGATGTAAATAATAAGTGTAAAAATATTATAACAAGTGTTATTTGACATATTTTTGTACTTTCATTTAATTTAATAACACATGTACGATGCTGAGCAAAAAGGGGGGCCGGTATGTCTGCTAGAGATAAGGCTCATGAAATGGCTGAGATATAATCATGAATATTTAAAATTGGACATGAAACTAGACTTTCACTTTTGTGCATGTTTGGAAATGAAATATGAAAAATCATCAAACTTAAATATGTTTGATTTTGAAAATATATAGTACAATGTCCTATGATTTAAAAAAATCAATAAAACAACACTGGCTTATTTAACAAATGTTCACAAATTATAAAAATGTGTTTGTAATGAAATAAAAAATGTATTTCACAATTAAATTAAATCTTAACAATTCTTTAAATATTTCCAACGCACTGAGTTTATCCATCCGGCTCGAAGGACCAAAAATGTGGGGAATTTATGTTAATTAGAAAGCAATGTGGACTGTATTATAGTAATTTTGAATTGGATACACTAACCTTTTGTTATTAAACTGATGCGTAGACTGGGGGCCCCCTTTGATGAATCCTGAAATGCTATAATGTTGATAAGTTCACTTTTTCACACTATATGATGTTAAAAAACACTTCAATTGTCTTTATAATAAGTTATAAGTCAGCGGTAAATATTTATGTTGGTATAGAGGTTTATGGTATTTGAAAATGTAGGAGAAAAGGCATGTTAAGTCCTCATAGCAACAGGACTTGCCCAAGAGTGTGCCACTACTCTGGCTGAAGGAAGGAGTTGGTCATGTGATACATATCAGTGACCAATCAGAGAGCTAGTCTTGAAACCATTGGGATTTGAAGATACTGATGCACTCTATGAGGAAAACATTTAACTATCTGAAATGGTATTTAAATGGAGATTGTGGTGAAATCAGTGCATTAAAATTAAAAATTAATATAAGAATACTTAGAACAAAACAGTATATATATTTGACACATTTAAATGAAGCTACAACTTCTCTGTGGCTACAGACAGTTCTTCATGAAACAGTTGCTTAATATTGATTAATAGACTATTTCTTGCCATGGAGCCTGAATAAATTACTTCGCAAAAAGACATTATTGTTTTAGTCACTATAAGAAAAGGTATTCAAAGTTTGACCTAATTAGTGAATAATTCAGTTTTGAGTATTGAATTTTCTAACTTAAAAAAGAATCAGTGCAACCAAATTTCAGTCTCCTAGGTAAATGGGAAGTAGGAGAATTAGTGATGAGTGAGCTAATCAGTCAGTCAGTGAGGGCTTTGCATTTTATAGGTATAGATAATCCTGGCTAAGAAACAGATAATTTTAGTCAGCAAAAAGGCTGTCATCTCATTCATTCAAAACTTATTGTTCAATTATCTTTGTTTTAAAACACACACTCCGGGGCGTCAGCATTGGCAAAATCTAATCGTACTGTATCTAATCTTGTGCTCGAACCTATTAGGTTAATCAGCAGGTAGGATTGATCCTGAGAAAAGTCAGTGACTAGGTGGTTTAAACTGGGCCTTTAGTCATTAACAAAGATATCATCATACCCATTCAATACTCACAGTTCTCTCAACTTCACGTTAAATTCGTCCCCCTAGTTTGTTGGTGTTGTACTGTACAATTCTAATCTAATCTAACAAATTATTGTATTATGAGTGCAACCCTGCTACCGTATTTCATAAACAAAATAACATAGGTAGTCTACCACAAATAATCATCACTATTTCAGAATAAACAATGACATTTGTTGTTGACGAGCACTCCAGAATAATATCATGTTTTACAATGGTTCAGGTTCTATGTTAATAATTTAGGTTGTTGACAAACTTATGGGAGAAAGTATTTGTCAGAATGCTGATACCGTTTATTTAGTTTAATCATTGGATATAACATATGGACCAACAAGATCCGGGTGGCATTTAATTACGAAGCATTAGTTTTGGCTTGAAACTATCAGATACTGTATTTGCGAAGGAATCGTTTTGTCAGCATATCTGAAAGTATGCAAACCAACTGCTGTGCTTTATATAAGAAGGTTTTAACTGACTATGATAAGATCCCCGTGCGTAGAACGGGCACACAGCTAGTCTTCTATATTTATAAAAGAGGAAGTTTGTATGTTTGACCGTTATGATCTCGGACACCAATAGACTGATTGCCACGAAACTTGGTACATAAGTGTAGAATTTCATGGAATAGGTTTATACACCATCAGTTTCGTCATCCATCCAATCGGCTACGCCCCAGTGGCTCTGGAGTTTCCCCATGTTAACCTGTACTTGTATTTAAATGTAATTAAAGAATCTTTATAGCTGTTTCAACTAAACAAACTGATTCTGTGATGTTCAATAGCATTAAAAAGTTAATTAATAGGTTTACCAACAGGGTGCAGCACTATTATTTTTTACTTTCTCCCCCTAAACATAGTATATAGAGAAAGTACTAGAAAACAGCTAATTTGTACCAAGCAGAAACAAAAAGCTGTGATACATGGAATAGATGAATTTTTACAGTTATGTTTATGTAGCCAGTTAATACTAATAGTAAATTAGTAAAAGTCTATCTACATACAGCAAATCTAGGGAACATAACAATTGTTCTATTTAGCATTCCCACTTATGCATTCCGGGCTGGTTTTGCCTGGAATCAGTAGTTTCGTCAGTGGCTAAATGCAGCAGGTTCTCCAATTTTTCGTTTGTTTGTATTAAACGAAATATTGATCCGACAGGTGCGGGTATGCACCACACTCATGTGAAAGAAGAATAAGGTGTCCAAACCAGGTGAACCTAACCTGAACTATTAAACTTATTAAGATACTACATTGAGTGTTATAGTCACTAGTATTATATAGTCTATGGTTATTGCCCCACAATTTACTAGGTCTAGAATGTTGTTGAATAGGCCTAAACCTTGACCTACATATTTTTTACTTTAGCTATTATATTTATGTACCAATGTACATAGCCTACTGTATATTAGGACAGAACCCATAGCATTTTTAAAATCTTGGAGGAAGAACTGTCTAGACCCATTTTAAACACCTAAAGGTCTATTTCCTATCCTGCGACTGTTACGACTCGCACGGCTCCAGCCGCGCGGCTGAAATGAGTGACTGCTTTAATGCAACCGTTTCCTAGCCGCGCGGCTAGAGCCGTCGCGACTGGACTGCTCCGTGAGCAGTTCAGTCGCTTCAGTCACGCGGCTGTAACGAATTTATAGTTTATACATACGAAGTTTGAGGTGTGTACCTTCATAGATGATTCAAAGTTAATGGAACTGGTTTGTCACTACCCATACGTTCACCCCCAATACTTGAAGAAGATGTCTCTGAATAAGAATACTCTGAAACCGCTATTTTCACCGTACCATGAACAATGGATTAGGTTGTTAATTGTTTTTTACCATGCACATTAATAATTCCTTTTCCTCCCTTTCTTCAAGTAATATATTCGCTGCCAACTGTGCTTATTCCATGACGGTCAGTAGTGCAATTTCACAAGTCACTAGTCGTGGGAGTCGTAGGAGTCGCGGCATAGGAATTGAGACAAGCGTCCAGCCGCGCGGCTAGAGTCGTAACAGTCGCAGGATAGGAAATGGACCTTTAGTTAGCTTACAGTTAACTTGCGTTCTTGCAGAAGAAAACAAGCTGTTGGCGGCCCTGATGTCTGGCAGCCCAAAGGCCCTAGAGGTAAATTCTTTTGGATTTTTTCCAAACTAACAAGTTTTTCATAGTAAAGTTTAACTGTCACACTTTATTATAAAATTTTTAATGGGCTTTAAAGTTTTGTTTGCTCTTAATTTTCCTCTTTTCACAAAAAGTAAAAAAAGTCTCACATAAATTTTGGGTGCAGTTTTATCTTAACTGGGCTACCCAGCCTACCCTACTATTGAATGAAAATATCCATTAAGTAACTTACAATTATCTTACTTAATGTAATTGACTAAAGTTTGTTTAACTTAGTGTTAATTTGATATAGCCTAGCCTATGTGTTTTTTCGGCTGCACTTTAGTTTACGTCCTACACTCATTCGAATCAATATATCGATCGATATATCGATTATTTCACTTGATCTATCAAGTTTGGTTGGTTCGGTTAAAACCTAACCTCTCTAACCGAATGAAATAATGGATATATCGAATAGGCCTAATCTATACTTTGATATTTTTCATTCGAATGAGTGTAGGACGTAAACTAAAGTGCAGCCGTTTTTTTGACAATAAAGAAATTCTCATTCTGATATTACATTCAAGGGTACAGTTTCTTAACTGGGCTATGCTACTATCGATTCAAAATATTGATTTGATTTGTAAACCTTGGCTGCACTTTACTTGACGTCCTACACTCATTCGAATTAAAATATCGATCGATATATATCGATTAATCGATTGCTTCATTCGATATATCGTTTGGTTAGTTAGGTAAGGTTAACCTAACCTAACTAACCAAACGATATATCGAATGAAACAATCGAATGAAACAATCAAATGAAAATACCGAATCGAAAAAAAACAATCGAATGAGTGTAGGACATCAAGTTAAGTGCAGCCTAAACCTTCTTTAGATTTTTTTAACTAAACTTCAAATTAAAATCAATTATAAAATTAAACTGTTAACTTAACTACCTAACTTAACTTATAACATAACCAAACTTGCTGATAATAAAATAGTCGAATGAAGGTTTACTGTTTATACTAATCAAATCAATATTTTCAATCGATAGTAGCGTAGCCCAGTTAAGAAATTGTTCCCGGCACTTAGACTTCTGCCTAGGCCTGGTAAGCTATTAGTAGGCTAAGATATAAGACAAACCTTGTTATTTTAAACAACATATTACAGCCTAAGTATATTAAAGAGCCAAATAAAGAGGTTACCTTATTGTTATAGTCTTCGTAATCTGATATTAGGTCAGGTACGCCTATGAATAATTTGAAATACGAAAATGAAGAGCGAGCCTTTCTCTGCACACTCAACTTGTAGTGTGATTCTCAACTTTCAGATTCAATATAATCCAACGATAGACCCAAAACCATGAAAACGAAACCAAACCTTTAGATTTGAATCTTCCACTCAACGGTTTAGGCATTTACCACCTTTGCTTTAATTTATGGAAGCTGCTTAGATAAGCAAGCTAAGAAATAATACAAAAGCTGGCTCGTTTGTTTTGACTTTTAAATTCAGGTTTGTCTGTACTCTGTTGTCTGCTGTTCTTGCTTCTTCTTGTTTTCACAATGTCCTTTAAAGTCAGAATCTTGATCAGTTATATAATACTACCATGTAGCTCCAACTCCATCCAGTCATTGAATATAGAAATTGTCTTAATATGTTCTTAACTATTTATCAATTTTCTAAGAAGGTTGTGTTGGAAGTGTGGAGACACTGAATGCACATCAACGTCAACGTTTTATTTTTATATGCTGTATCTTATTTCATCCTACCCCTCTTTCCATATATAAATTAAAAAAAAAACCCATGAACTTTTGAGAAAAGTACAAGTCACATTCCCATATACCATGTTCGTCATGACGAGAAACCTTGCGCAAAACTATACATTATTTTATAAATTGCCATTTAAGGTCGTAATAACTTTGTAAAGGGAACTTTCCGTATACCTAATGTTAAAAATGCCTCAAACTGAACTTATAGTTGTTATTCTTTAAATTTATTACTACCTTATTAAAATCAGGTGTGATCATTTGTTGTATTACTGTATTCTGTTTTGTTTATTTCAGCTTAACTTAACTACTACCTATCTTTGACTATCAATAGAACAATATCAATAATATCTTCAGTATCCAATTAGTCAATGCTACTATTAAAAGAGTTTAATTAATACTTACGAAGTCAAACGGGGTGAAACCCGACGTCATTCCGCCCGTGGGTAACAGCTAGTTGGGTTTAACAGTTGAAATAATATCATGATCAGACACATTTAATCATTTAGGCGATAAAAATAGTTTTATTACAAACCAAAAACATATAATCACTTAAATAATATCAACTGTGTAATGTGTCTAATTAATTAATTGCAGTTGCAGATCATGGCATTTAGATTATTTGCAGTACCGTGACTTGAGTAATTGAGTAATAACATTTCGTCTTAATATTAACCACTCACATAGGTATCTGTACACTTAAACTGAAAGCTCATATTTTTTGGAAGTTTTGAATTTATAATGGGAAGTAATAATGAAATGCTACGGAATAGTGTGTATAAGGCTACCTGTAGGCTACTGCGGGAGGGAGTAGATACCATCCCCCCACGCCTCGCAGATCAAACTAAACTATGGATGTTTTAAGCGAGCCCATTTCTACCTGCCAGATTTCTGGATCAGTTTGGATGTTAAAGAACTATCCTCTGACCGTGGTTCAGTTTGGACACACGTCAAACTGTTCCAATCCTGAATATCCTGAATCCACTGACATGGCGACTTTAGAGGTATGAAGAATTGCAGTGCGTTAATGTTCTTCCAAACGACGAGCAGCGATTCGTCGACACTCCTGCTCAAGATGATCGGTCTGTTGTTCATTAGTTTATTTCTCCCATTTTATTCTTCGATGCGCGACTTGGGCCGATGTTTTGAGACATTTGGTGAGATTTATGAGCTGTTTGGAACTGGCTAGGTTGTAGACGAAGAGGTGACATTTGTTTCCTGAGGATATAGATTGTAGCTTCTCATTTTTATTCGCTTCGGATTCGGAGGTCTTCCGTGTTTCATTCTTAATCTTGTAAATCAACCAATAAACCATTTAACAGTAATATGTATGTAAACCAAACTGAATATAACCAATAAACCAAAGATTACACATCTATATATATAATTCTGTAAGACAAAATTTTTACCAGAAAATTGTGGACGTCTGGTAAGTCGCAGAAAAGTGGGAGAGGTCTTAAATTAAAGGTCTTGACCCCAGGTACTCGGGAAAAATAGCAGAATTCCCATTAAGTTGCCAGAAAACGAGATAAAACGTAAAATGTTCTCCATAAGAATAGCATTATAAGCCATTTACTTCAGATTTTGGTTTACTTCAGTACAGCTGATCGTGATTTATCATTAAGCCAATGCAATATTGACATTTGGATTACTTATTTGCCAGTCAATTCTGCAATGTACTGTATATACTATCTTTGACTATTAATACAACTCAATGATACTATATAAAACCAGGAATAACGTTACCTCATTGACTAAATAGTCTAAGGTTACCTATAATAATTAAGACTATTTTAGTTACGTCTTAGAATTTTGAAATAAATTATGTTACTGTGAAACTTATCAAATATATCTATTTTTATATAAATAAGTTAAGCGTGTGATAAGTAGAAGAATCATGGGAGTAGGCTAAAAAAGGATTGAACTTAGAATGGCTGAAAAAATATCGGCCAACAAAAGCAAAAAAAGACAAACAACACTCCTGTTTTTTACACAAAAGAAATGGTGTATAGGGATATTATATTCTGACACGTATATAATAGATAATACATTTCTGAGTTTGTTTAAATATTAAAACAGTGTGTTTTATACCATCGAGCTTTTTAGGGACTTATGTCCCTACAAGCCCCTAGTTCTTTGATATAACTATTCTTATACAAAAAATTTGTCAAACTAACCAATGCTTAATTTTTGTATTCTGTGCTCTGTGGTTTCTATTAAAATATTGATATCTTAATATTTTTTATATAATATTTTTTCTTAATTTTTTTATATATGTCTATAATATAGATTTATATATTATACTAGCTGTGTACCCGTTCTACGTACGGGTTGAATAAAATATACAGTAGGTACAAACAATACAATGAGGAATCTTGTTACGTCAAGTATAAATTTAAGCATTTAATTATAAATTTAAACATTTAATTAGCAGTAATAATAAAAAAAGAGTTATAACTAACACAATAGTAAGTAGATGGTGTATTAAAAAGAAATACTAAATGTAAATAATGACAGTTAAACTTTTAAACATAAGGATGATAATATACATTTTTTACAAAGATTACAATAAAACATTTAAATGAGAAGTGGTTTAAGATATGGTAAGTATTTGGAAGATCTTCCCCTTCGCCCCAAAGGTTCGCCCAAGGCTTCTTTCATTGACAAAGAGGATGTGTGTGGTTTATCTGAGTGCCTCCTCATACACTACGTTTGCAGTTTGGCCGCCCGGAGCAAGAATGAAAAGGCTTTTGCTGGATCTCACTCTGGAACAAGCAACTTACAACTGCCCGTGAGAGAAACATGCTGATCCGCTTAGTTCCACCCCGGCTGTGGACAACGTCTGGTCTTGTGATTTATTAATTGTCATGGCGAAGCAAACTGTGACGGGGAAACTGTAGTCGCTTGAACTCAAACGGGTAGTTGCTAGGAATTGATGGAATTATTGGGATAAATGCCAATTCACCAGCACCACAACCCATGAGAATCTTGACTGCTTCAATGATCGGTTGCTGATACTGAGTCGAGAAACTCTGCCGGGTAGTTTAATTGTCTTCTCTCAGGACGGTGTTCACCGATTTTGCACGTACGTTCTTTAACGTGGAAGAGAGTCATCGCCTAAATGTTGCTCGTTTTAGGTGTCAGAATTGCACAATCACAGAGCCAGGTACTATCCATATTAAGTAGTTCATGAACTTCTGGAAAGACACTGGTTATCAGTTTTTCTTGTGATCTGACAACACCAACACCAAGTGAAGGAGGTGCGGTTTATTACCGTTTTTATATTTTCTAATGTTCCGTCTCCATCCTTCATTAGAATCTCTAGGAATTCCTCAGCTCCACGTCGATCAATGCAAACAACAATCATATTTAATATGAGTGAGAGGCGTTCTATGGTTGGCCACAAAGTGGATAGCTTTAGAGATGCATGGATCTCGTCGGCCCTCCTACCCGCACCAGAGGCAGAGTATCTCTAAAGTGACCAGAAAACATCACAGTTACTCCCCCATGGTGGTTGGGCTGTTTCTACTACAGTATCTTTAAATGTCCCGTCCAATGATCAATGGCGACTTTGTAAACCATGGTGCATTCGTCCCATATAATTAGGGAGAAATCTTGAAGCACTCAAGTCATTGGGGAGTTTCTTAAAATAGAGGATACTAGATGTATCAAATAGCATCAATATGAATTCGTAAGTATTAAAATTACAATACCAACAAAATGTTTCACATTTCTCTTAAAAACATTAGTCAGGACTCTTTTCTTATGGTTTGTTATAAATGTACATTCAATAGTATGGAACATAAATAATTAAAACTGTGACTACTTATAATTAATTTAACATAAACATAGCCCGAATGTTAAAGTACAACAGCAGTTTCATCAATGTTTATGGTATACAAAAATAATCAGAATCAGCCGAAACTTGATTTCATAATATTATTACATAATACGTCACCCGTTCTACTATATAGTCAATGGCATTATTTGAACTTTATTTAGCTTTAAATAGCTTTGTGCTAATTCTCTTCAAAATGTCAAATACCACAGTATATTTTCTGTTAGAAATAGCCCAAACACCATTTACTGCCTTTACTCAGAATAGCAACTTCCTTAGGACGTAAATCGTGGGATAAAATGTAAAATTGTATATAGTATGATTTTAAAACACGTAAAATATTATCACAGATCAAGATTTCCACAGTTTTGTGTTTGATGTGAAATATTCCAGGAACAGCTGATATTATTTAATTTACAATAGATCATTTGACTTGTATGGTAAAAAAACATAAAACAAAATGTAATAGCACACAAAACTGGGTTTTTGAGTGTTCGTTATTTTATTACAAATGGACGTACACTTGTTTCAAGTAATTCAAAACCTTCTCATGCATCGAAGAATACATCGAAACGGTATCATCATAATAGGTTTTGTCATTTTCCCGGAGAAAAGAGTGTAAAATGCCACCTTGAGTGTTACAGACAGACAGACAGCCAGAAATTAAGATAACACGCGTTTCGGCTTTCCTATCGTATGAAATGAAAAAAATAACCGAAACATTTATGATTCTACGCAATGTATTCGTTTTTAAATAACTCCTGTAATACTTTGCAATTGCTCGATTTCGAACAACATGTACACTAGTATCAGTATAAATAAACCTGTAAAGTGGTTGTACAGAATATT